TCTGGGGAGACCAGAGGTCAAATCTGGCACAGCAGGACAAATCCATGAATTTGGAACTGTCCCACCAAACTTGGACAATTGAGAGATATATACAAGTACTTGTAAAGTCAAGTTTCACCCTGTGATGTATACAAATGGCAAGGAGCATACTGTCGCAGTGATTTTTTTTTTAAACTGCTATAGTAATAAGTTATTATAAGTTCTAAGGCGATATGAACAGGGTGAAGGATCCAGGACAGCTGTTAAAGAGTTAAACATATTGTAAGCACAAGTATTATAGAGATCCTCAAATATTTGCCTTGTTACTTCCTTGATGGCAAAACACACTCTGAGCAATTTCAAAGAGAAGCTAAAGTAAACTATAAACTTACAGCAATCAATTTTCAAAGGCTATTGGCAGATTTACAAGAGGAAATCCCTATATTTGTTTTAGTAATGCAAAGAAAATATAGCATCTTTTAGTGAAAGAAACAACTGAAGTATCAAGAATAATTAAAAGGATTAATACATGACACATGCTTTTTGGCTCCTAAAAACATGTATGACTGTAGGATTTTGCTTGTTGTTTCAGGGCTTTTTGCTAATATCCTGTGCTCTGTGAAATACATAGAGCTAACATTCTCAATAGAGTACTGTATTATCATGGGGCTTCAAGACGAGTTTCTTCAATGCATTCCTCCTGCAAATTGATTGGTGTATATCAATTTCACTGATACCCACCTCGGTTCGGTAGTGGGATGTGATCTATACCAACCACTTGAGGGATGTATTTTAATGGATGTTGTTGATCCAGAACATACCTTATTTTAAATACCCTGTGTTGTTTATTTACTTTTTCACATGGTATGCCATGATGGGGATAATTCTCATTCCTGGGCTGCCATACAGTCTCAAAGGCAACATAAGTAATCTGGCAAATTTATTTTCAAATAGTTAATTAATGATAAATTTTTATAAAGCATAACAATAAAAATTTTAAACAAGTTATGATCATATTAAAGTAAAATAATAAACAAAAATAAGAAAGGGAAAAAGTAAAAGAATAAAAAGGGGAAAGGAATCCATTACATGTGTCAACAGCAAATGGCATTATGACGTGTGTACAACATAAAGGAAAGCAACAAAATTCTTTACAGCAGGTACCTCATAATACCATCTCTACAGGGTGGTAATATTCATATACCATGTTTTTTTTTCACCTCAGTTTCAATCTCGCAAATTTCAAGGTGTTAAAATTGAAATGAGCGAGCCTTATATTCGACCCTATAACTTTCCAAAATAGCATAAAACTTGGATATGGAGGACACTGTTGTACTCAGGAGATATCGCTGATCACAAATATGATTGTATTAGAGCAGTAAAACATATACTGCTGATATCATCATTGGTGAAAGGGTAGTTATTTTTTGAAAAATGAAAATGCAAAATATAAATGTGATTGCTAACTTTACTTTGGTCAGGGTTTGTGACTAAGTGGCTACAAAAAAAAAAGACTGGACATACCACATTTTGAATACCCTGGAGTGTATACTTTACAAATAGTATGCCATGATAGGTTTAATTTTCATTCCTGTGCAGCCATATGGTCTCAAAGGCAAGATAGGCCCAGCAAACCAATCTGGCAAATTTCAATGTGTAAAAACTAAAAAAAGGGAAAGTGCTATATTTCACCCTGTACGTTTCAAAGACCCCATATAACCTACATGAGACATTGATGAATACAAATATGTATGTTTTATTGCAGTAAAAGATAACAGTATTCTGACATTCACAGTTAAAATGTCATGCAAAATTTGAAAAATTACAAAAATTATTAATTTCTCAAACCTTTTTAGATTTTATTCATATTAAATGATGTTTCATATATAAATATTTGATGTGAAATGAAATCCATGTTTCTCTTGAATAAAATGATATATAATAAGTGTGGGTGCACCTAATTTGAAAGAGATAAATTATTGTTTAACAGATATAGCTCAAATTCTAGGTTTTGTTTTGATTAAAATTTGTACAATTGCCTTCTTCCTTAAGGAGCAAAATACAACCTCAGATAAAAATCACATGGCATATTACACAGTGTCATGATTTATTTAGCAAAAAGAAAAAATGGAGAAGCGATGTGTGAAAAACAGAGTACATGCTATGATTGAATAGCTTGTAGAACTACCTTTAGCAGCAATATCTTGAGGCAATTATTTTCTATATGACTATCAGTCTCTTGCATTGCTGTGGAGGACTTTTGGCACAATCTTCTATACAACGTTGCTTCAGTTCATTGAGATTTGCTTGCATTTGTTTATGCACAGCGCTCTTAAGGTCCCACCACAACATTTCAATCAGGTTGAGGTCTGGACATTGACTGGACCATTGCAACACCTTGATTATTTTTCTTTTGCTGGTTTACTTGGGATAATTGTCCTGTTGTATGACCCATTTTTGGCCAAGCTTGAGCTGCCAGATAGATGGCTTCTCATATGACTCTAGAATACTTTGGTATACAGAAGAGTTTATGGTCGACTTAATGGCTGCAAGGTTCTCAGGTGCTATGGCTGCAAAATCAACATCCCTCCACCACCATGCTTGACAGTTGGTATGAAGTGTTTGTGCTGTTATGAGGTGTTTGGTGTTCGCCAAATGTGGCGCTGTGCATTATGGCCAAAACATCTCCACTTTGGTCTCATCTGCCCAAAGGACATTGTTCCAGAAGTCTAGTGGCTTGTTTAGATTCAACTTTGCAAACCTAAGCCATGCTGCCAAATTCTTTTTAGAGATAGGAGGCTTTCTCCTCGCAACCCTTCCAAACAAGCCATTCTTGACCAGTCTCTCTCTCATTGTACTGTCATGAACTTTAACATTTAACATACTAATTGAAGCCTGTAGAGTTCGAGATGTAAATCTTGGGCTTTTTGCAATTTCTCTGAGCATTGCACAGTCTGACCTTGAGGTGAATTTGCTGGGACGTCTACTCCTGGGAAGATTGGCAACTGTCTTGAATGTTTTCCACTTTTAAATAATATTTCTCACTGTAGAATGATGAACTTCTTTGGAAATGGCCTTTTAACCCATTTCAGTTTGATTGGTGGCAACATTTGCTCCTCTAAGATCATTATTGGTGTATTTCCTCCTTGGAAGGCCTGGACTAGCCATCGGGCATACCAGGCAAATGCCCGGTGAGCCGCAATGGCCATGGGACAAGCGAGATCAAGAGATATCACGGGCCGGAGGGGGAGATCAAAGATCTCCCTCTCCAGCCGACAGGCATTTTACAGGACAGCCAGCAGAAGGAAGGGAGAGCTCGGAGGAGCTATTCACAACTCCGCCGGGTTTCTCTCACAAGGTCTGGCAATGCTATGATCTCACAAGTGTGAACTCCAGGAGCTGTAAACTCACTCACCACTGTGGCCACCATGGATTTCCCACCAGACCACCAGGGCTGGCAGCAAAGTTCCCCCTCTAAAGGTAAGAAGGAAGGGGGGGGATAAAAGTTATATATTTTAAAAATTTATAATATAAATAAAACTCGAACCTTTCCCCCATTGCACCCCAAACACACACACATTTACTCTAACTGCACCCCCCCCACACACACACACACACACTCTAACTGTAACCCCTCACAAACACACACACTGCACCCCAAACACACACACATTCTAACGGCAACCCCTCACACACACACACTGCACCCCAAACACTCCCTTTAACTGCACCTGCCCCCCCACACACACTCTAACTGCACCCCTCACACACAAACACAATGCACCCAGGGATGTGTCTACCGCGAGGCAAACAAGGCATTTGCCTTGGTGGCAATTCCCTTGTTTTATGGGAGCCAAAGAGCTGGCCACCTTTGGGCTCCCTGGTGCAGGTGGGCAGTTGTTTTCTGGGTGGGCGCTCTAAGTTTTCAGTGAGGGAACACTTTCCTCTGAGCTCTCTGCTCAGCTCCCTCGCGCGACCCACAGTAATGCCGGGAGCCGGAATATGACTTCCGTCCGGCCGCCTCCCTGCCCAGCAGCCCCACTGGGCCCCTGGTGAAAAACCCACCCAGCTATCCCAACAGTAGGGACGCTGGGTGGATTTCACTTTAAAAAAATAATAGTGAGTGTGTGTGAGAATGTGAGTGTGCGTCAGTGAATTTGAGTGTGTGTGTGTCTGTCAGTGTGTATGCGTCTGTCAGTAAGTGCGTGAGTCTGCCAGTGTGTTAAATCAGTGGGTACGTATGTCATTGTTTGTCAGTGTATGAGAGTGTGTCTGTCAGTGAGGGTGTATGTGTGTGTTGGTCACTGAACGTGTTTGTCATTCAGTCAGTATGTATGCGTCTGTCAGTGAGTGTGTATGTCATTGTTTGTCAGTGTATATGAGAGTGTGTGTCAGTGAGTGTATGCATTTATCAGTGAGAGTGTGCGTCTGTAAGTTAGTGAGCGTCTGTCAGTCAAAGTGTGGCCTTGTCAGGAAGGGGTGGGGAAATTTTAAATTAAGGGGGATGCTTGAGCACCGTCATGCCTAGGGCAGCACAAATCCTAAATACACAACTGACTGCACCCCAAACACAGACACTAACTGCGCTCTTCACACACACTTTACACCTCACACACACTGCACCCTTCACACACTCACTACACCACATTTCTGGCATACACACTCTGAATCTCTGTGCACACACTAGATCCCCTGTATGCAACTACTGATCCCAGGTGATCCAGTTGGTTCATAATTTGATTAATACCTCTGGCGTGCGCAGACCACTTGTATTATGCCTGCCAATGATGCATTATCATGGTAACCCACGGCAATGCTTGCAAGAGCAATACACGTGGTCGTCACTGATTTAGCCTCATTGTGCACATAATTTATTTCTATACAGTTATTTAGCTTTGCAGCTCATTGATCAAGGGTTGTGTGCTTCTTGTCTGCCTCACTGTCTAATTATCTGTCTAACAATGTTTTAACAAAGAAAGGCAAACAAATACTTTGCATTGTTTTATATATTTGGTTTTATT